AATAAATAGGAAATGTAAGACGAAACATTTAATAATATTTAATAATATATTTAAAATGCAAACAGAAAAATTTAAATATAAGAAACTAGAGTTTTAAGAAACAAAAACGAGGAATTTAGGAAAATAAGAAGAGACCCTGCAAATCGTCTAAGGTCCCATTTTTTTTAAAAAATATGGTTAGAATTAATATTATGTTCGGAGAGCATGGTTTTGAATTGATTTGGATTTCTAGAATTATAAATATATAGAATTGCTCTTTTCATATATATTGGAAACTTCTCCCAATGTAACACTTTTTTAAAATAACCATTTTTTTTAAAAAAATATGGTTAAAATTGATATTATGTTCGGAGAGCATGGTTTTGAATTGATTCGGATTTCTAGATCAATTATTATGAATATATTGAATAACTCTTTTATATATTTCGGAATTTTTTCCCAATGTAACACATATTGTACTCATGTGTGTGTATATATTATTTTGTGGTTTTGTGCAATATGCATAATGCACCTAGCTGGTTGCAACAAAAAGTTCCGTATCAAGTTTTTTCCCCAAAAGTTTTTCTTTTCTGCAGTTTTTTGTCCTGGTGATCCTCCAAGCTTAAGTGAATTTGCAATCCGGTATGTTTTTGCCGGAGTCGCTTTAAAAAGTTTTTATTTGGGGAATTAAATTTACCAAAAAATAAATAGATAGTTTGTAAAAAAAATTTAATATGTATAAATTGTAAACAAAAAATATTGTATTAAATATAATTGATTTTAATTGATTAGAATTTTTTAAAAATTAAATTGCATTTTGAAGAAATTTTATTAAATTGCATTTGGAAGTTTTTATTCTATTATCTTCCCGTAGGTTAAGTTATTGTAATCGTCCAAAAATCGAAATTGTAAATTTTTGCATATTTTCACGTTTCAAAGGTTTCTGAACATTCTGGCATCCCTTAGAGAAAATGGATGTGTGTGTGTATGTGCGGATACAATCTTTTATCGAAAATTTCAGGAGCAAAGATCAACCGATTTGAATGGTTCAAAAAACATTCGATTCCTATTGATAGGGAGATGTGCTAATTAGTTTCTGGCAAAAGCAAGTCCAGTAGTTACGGAGATAAAGAGCAAAAAGTGCAGAAAATTAAAATCGACTTTTTGAGAGAACTGAGCATCCGGTTTAAATGATTCGAAAAACATTTTACTTGTACTGACTTGATGAAGAATTTGATTGAATTTTTGCAAATGCAGTTTTAACGGTTTTAGAGGTCCAGTAAAAACTTTTTAGAAAAATTTCATTTGGTGGTCGAATCTCAGATATTTCGACAGTATACATCAACCGACATACTTAGGTATCAAAAGTTTTCCAAAGGTTTCAAAATTTCATATTTATATATATTAAAATATAAACTGTTAGATATGCAAAAACTTTAAAACGGCTGAACCGATTTGGCCATTTTTAGTTTTGAAATATTCGTGTTAATCCAGAGATTGTACAAGAGGTAAGAAAATACTTCAAAACCGAGTAGAAACTTTACATTTTTAAGGAGGATTTAAATTTTTTTTTAGAAACGTTATTGGAAACGAAACCACTGCCTGCAACTTATACGTCAAATGTCAAATGGTTTACGAGTACAAAGTTTTCGAGTTATTCACAGAAATGTAAAAAAACGTCCCGAATTTTCTAGTTCAGATTATATAAAATGTATATTATAGTAAATATTATATAAAATCTCAATAAACAAATCATAAGTATTATTAGAAAATCAGAATATCAACTTTTTTGGAAAGGCAACTTTTGGATTCTCTAGAAATTGTTTACATGCAAAATACCTTATATGATGAAACAACATTTGTCAGCTAGTATATATATCTTATATATAAAATTCTTCTGTAACAATGTAAGTTTCATATTTCCTCCTAAACTATAATTCGGATTTTCATGAATCTTCCTGAAGTTTGTTCGGGAAATTTTTTAGAATGTTTTGATTCATAGAAATATAGTTAAATTGTAGAAATAAATAGAAAAAATTACAAAAAACCGCTTATCATTGTTTGCCCTTGAAAATATTTGAAGCTTAGTTTGACATTAAAAACAATTGAGGACTGTCATTTGCCAAACATTTCTATTCACTTATAGGCTAAGGCAATATTAGAATATAATAAATTCATATTTATGAATAAGGAAAATGTAATGTCTACATTATTAATGCCGAAAAGCAGCTGAGATGTGCCAAAAATTAAATTAATATAAGATGCAAATAATATAACATGCATTTGACAAGTGATGCAGTCTGCGCATGCGTCTGACGTGCGCGTGGTTTGCTTTTGCTTGCAATAATTTTGTTTGCGCACTTTGCGAACAGATTCGCCGTACCAATTCGCGCCAAGGAGCGAGCCATAAGTGATTGCGCTCAAATATATTCAATTTGCAGTCGTTTTGCCTTACTATACTAAGTCACAATACAAAAAAAATTATTTAGAAGTTTCATTGTGTCAAAAATTCATATGTTTGTCATTGGGTACGGAATATTTACTCAATGGAGCGCTTTGGGTCTGAAATTTTTACTATTTTCCAATTCGTTTGGAATTTTGGAACTAGGTTCATCTTACTCTTCAGAAGTGAAAACAATTTAGACTCCTTTACCACTTCTCGGGTGGATGACATTTCTTTTCAGTGGTGTAATTTTACTTTTTTCAAAATAACGTTGGGTATTGATAAAAGAACTAATTATACGAGAAAAATATTTAATAATGTTTTTCAAAAAAGGAAATACTTTTCAAGTTACTGGCTACTGAATATTTGTTTCTTTTTTGCGTTTTTCATCATTTTTTGCTAACACCTTCAAAAATATACATTTTAACGAAAATCATGTAATGAACAGAATTATATCAATTAAAATCTTAATAAATCGTTATTTTATAGTGTTTTAGGAACATTATTAGGCTAGATATGAAAATGGGTTTTTATAGTGCTCAAAATAAGCTTTAAAATGAGTACTTCTGCGTGTAAAATGAGTGAGCTATCATGCAGATAAAGGACGCATGCAATGTTTTTTTTTTTCATTTAAATCAAATACTTTGAGTGCCATATCCACCAAAATTAAAAATAATCGTATTCAATCTAGAATTAACTTGGTTTAAGAGATCTTGATGGATTCTAGAAAATACCACAACTTTAGTACAAATGATTCTCAAAAAACTCATGATTTCATGAAAAAAAAACATTTAAAAAAAAACAACCAATTTCTCATCATAATATCTCTGAAAGAATACGTATAAAAGTATATATATAAGAAAATTCGAGGTATTTTTCTGACTAATTATTATTGTTTATTATTTTTTCGTTACACAAATATTGATAGATGTATGATTAATTAAGGAGCTGTCCAACCAGAGGTCTTTCGAGCCCTTTAATCCTTCGCCGTTTTACAATAAGAGAAGTTACGGTAAAATTAATGATAGAGAAAGTTGTAGCTCATTTAATCACCTTTAAAATAGTGTATTACAAGTTCTGATAAAATCAGAATTAAGAGTAATAATCCAATTAATGCTGTGGATGGTGACGGAGTGCAAATTGTTAAAAACATTGAAATTAAGATAAAGATTAGCCTATTTCCAAAATATCAAGTAAATTGGAGCACATTAAAAAAATTCACAGAGCAATAATTTTGTTGATTGTAAGTTGAATAGAGCACATGTGAACAGGATTTGACAAATTAATTCACTTCAAATATAAACTTAAGCAATAATGTATATTGATTTATTGGAGAAAAAAATGTAATTTAGATATTAAAATTACTAAAAGCCAGTTAAAATATGGTACGAAATTATAAAAATTATAGGCAACCTTTTATTTCAAAAAATAAAAGGTGATATTGCACCTTTGCCGCGAATGCTATATATTAATTCTTTCTGAATTTGTTGTACTTTTTAAAAGATTTCAATTTTCAACACGTGTATCTTATGCTGTGACATAAATCACAAAGGCAGACGATCATTTTTAGTGTGATAAATTTGGAAAATCGATGTTTTAGTCGTGAATAAACAAAAAATCATTCATTTATACATCCACATCTACAGGTATGACTAAAAATACTATATAACCCTTAAATGCAATAAAATAAATTGAGCTATTGGAAATAAATTTGTTCTATAAATCGCAGTGTATAATTTTTAATATACAATTTTATTGAACATTTTTTAATATTTGTTAAATGAATAATTAAAGTGTTAACTGTGGGAATTAAGAACAATCATTTTATTTGAAATAGTTCTACATTCAACATCACTCATGTATTGGTGTAAATAGTAATTCAAAAAACAGTAATTATTATTTTTAACTAAGCAGTAAATATTAGTATAAAAAATTGAAAAATTGTAGACATGAGTACAGAACAACGTCTGTCGGGTCAGCTAGTATATATATATATATATATATATATATAAGTACATTTGTAGACATTTCTCGAGTCTTATTTTTATTCAAAGAAAATCTTATTTATTATTCTCTTTGCTCGCATTTTTATGCATAATTCTTCATTAGGACATAAAATACAAACACACTTATATATATATATATATATATATAGATATATATATATATATATATATATAGTTATATACATATATATATATAATTTTATACTCCACTTGACGTGACAAAATCTCAGAAATTAATATTAGAGATTACACACTTTAGGTAATTGAAAAATCTCGTCTAAGATTTATATATATATATATATATATATATATATATTTATATATATATATACAAGTAATTTTTATCATTATAATGTGATATTTCAGAATAAAATGAAACACAAACTTTTGCACCTTAATCCTGCAAAATTTATATCCATCGCGCGTTCTACATCAATATTAAAAAGAAATTTTGTTATATATATATATATATAAATATATATATATATATATATATATATGTATGTATGTATGTATGTATATATAAGAAATGATTTGGAGTATGTAATCCAGTTACAAAGTTGTATTTTGTTTTTAGGCAGACCGACGACGACGAGTCCTGAATACCTAACATTTTTTTTGTAAAAGTTATTTTGTGGAAGTTATCAAACAGGATTTGCTTTACTTTGATGAAAAAGGACGCACAATTTGGTGAGTTAGATTTTTTATAAATTGTTTTTATTATAAAACACAAATAATATTTATCTTAAAAACTTCAAGAACACTGCGTATCTTAAAATTTCCCAAAATTATTTACTCTTCGCTCTCTTATCTTATTTTTATACATCACTTTTTGGTACATTTTCTAGTAGAGTATTTTCTATCTATTAGCAAAACGAGAAGTTCTAGAAAGTTTTGATGTTAGATAATATTATACATAATTTAATTACGTAACAAATTCCCAAATACATCATAAATATTATTCGAATGGTTTAGAAGTTACAGTCGATGAAACAAAAAAATGCACAAAATATAGTGCATTCCAATACAAGATGTCACGGTATGCATTATGTGCAAAGTCTTAGAACAACTTCTGGTTTCTCTGAAAATTAGTATAGTTGATTATAGAAATATAATTTTTGATCAAAAATTCAAAAAATTACCCAGACTAAGTACAGTCTAAGCGACAACCTAGTATAAATGTTCCCGCAAGTGCGTTTAGACTGTTTTTGTACTGGAGCACTTTTCCATTTTTATATGAATTATAAAAATATAATTTAAAAATTTGAAAAATTAAAAAATTTCAAAAATTACTCAGACTAAGTACAGTCTAAAAATAAGTGACAACCTGGTGAAAATATATTCGCAAGTGCGTTTTGAATGTAAATTTTTGAAATGTAATTTTGCGCAAAAATTTAAAAAATTACCCAGGCTAAGCACAGTCTAAGTGACAATCCGATGTAAATATATTCGCAAGTGCGTTTAGATTGTGACTGCACTGGAGCACTTTTCCATTTTTATGTAAATTAATAGAAAATGGAAATTAAGTTTACGAGAGAACGGAGCGTCCTATTTGAATAATTCAAAAAACATCCAACTCTTAATGATTCGTAAAACTAGTAAATAGTATTTTGGAAAAGCAGGTCCAGTCGTTTCGGAGATCAAATAAAAAAAGTGAAAAAAATTATTAGACATGTGCACAATTATCCGGTGTTTTGTAGATATTTTAATAATAAAAACAAAATTTGTTTATTTTTGTATGGGTTTATTTATTTGTTATACAGCGACCCGGCGCCGACGCGCTTCTTTTTTGACAAAAAGTTTAAAATTTCCAACATACTTCAAAGTACAACAAAATCAAAATTCAATTGATTCACAAAATTTGGGAGATTTCAAAAATATATTATTTTTCAAAGTTGAATATTTAAAAAAAAAAAAATATTGGTACGGGAAGTTCCAGAAATTTGTCTTAAGGCACGATGCCATGCACCATTAGTTTTTTTATAATATATTTTTGAATATTGATGTGAATTTTAATTCTAGATAAGTTATGAAAATGTAATTTTGTGTCAAAAACTGTAAAAAATCACCCGGACTAAACACAGTCTAAGCGACAACTCGGTACAAATATACTTGCAAGTGCGTTTAGACTGTTTCTGTACAAGAATGTTTTTTCAATTTTGTGAGTAAACTATTGAAAAATGTAAAAATACCGCCAAGCAAAGCACAGTCCAAGTGAAAATGTCGCACAGAATTATTTGCAAATGCGTTTAGACTGTGACTATAGCGCGCTTTTTCAATTTTGTGTATTTGGCAACTATTTTTTTTTTAATTGATTTCGAAATGAAATGACGATTGTTAGTGTTCTGGAGATAAATTGATTTATGATTTACATTCAATTTGCTCAGATATAACAATAAGATAGAAAAAATAATGAAAGTTACAGTATTTGTAATGATATATTTGCAAAGGTTTAAAATTTCTCGAATATTTTATGAACGTACGGGAAGTTCCAGCAATTTTCCTTAAAGCACAATGCCATACACCACTAGTTTAATTTTGGATGAGTTTGTGTAACAAATCATTTAAATTATAGAAATGTTTCGGGACTTATGAGCAATTTAGGAAAAAAATGAATTACATGAAATCAGACTATTAATTTTCCAAAATAATTCTCAAATTTGCAAAAAAATACTTCAATCCTCACCAAATTTTTTTTGGCAGTTAATAATCAAATTATAACTTAGTATGTTCATTAAGACCATGTACTCTATCGCCATAATAATAAAAAAACATATAATTAATAATTATCAAATTAGATTTTTGCTAAATAAATTATTATCTAGCTCTTATTAAATTCTGTCTGGTTTTTCATTAGATTCAAACTTGCTTCATAATATTATTTAAATGTACTAGATTGTTTCAACAAAATATTATTCATTATTAAATAAACTAGATTCAAAATTATTACTTCGATTTGTTGAGTGCAAGTCCCAGTGCTTTGTTTTGTATAGTTTGTAATCTCCGTAAGTTCGTCTCTATTTATTTATTTATTTATTTATTCATAAGCAAGCCGTAAACAATAATAATAGATATCTTATTATTAATATTTTTATTAATTCTATAATAATATAGTATATTCATTGAGACAATATACTCTATCGCCATACAAAATAGATTCATTAAAATCACTTCTAGCAAACCATTTTTTTTGACAAAAACACAAACTTCTCTTCCAAAAAATCTCAGATTTTCATTTCCAATTTCTGGCAGCAAAAAATCGAACATCCTTCGATTTTATATATTCATTGACACGCCATTATTCGTGTTCGAATTTTCTTTATGTATAATTTATATTTGCTCGCGTATGGGGGTGTGCGAATAAATGAATTGTATGAATAAATAAAATCGATCCGGATGCGAGAAAGTTAGTCGAGAGGCATCAATTCGTGAACAATTCCACACTCCCTTGACGATACGTCGAGATTGGCACATTAATATATTATTTTGAGGGGGGGCGATGCGCAGCCCTTGGACTAAATCATATGTAGAAATCAGGATAGATATTGTTAAGTTCCGGAAGGAGAAATTTATGGTTTTGCCAGAAAATCCGATGTGAATTTTATGTTTTTTTGACGTTTCAAGTCATGTTAAGATCTGTTTTGAAACCTTCTGTAATTTTTGTTACAAATTCTTTTGAATGTGAAAAGATCATGGTAAAAATATTATAGGAACCCAATGAGAATACAAAAGAATTCAATTGAAATCTTATAAAAATCTGACAAAAAATCGACAAAATTCTAATAAATATCTTAAAATGTTTAATAGAACAAGAAGTTGATAAGAATCTGATGAGGATCTTAATAGAAACTGATAAGAATCTCATGAGAAACTAATAAGAATTTTATAATATTTCCATAAGAATCTAATAAGGTTATAACAAGAATAATATAAGGGATAACTAGTGGTGTCGTGCCTTAAGGCAAGTTGCTGGAACTTCTCGTACCGTAATGAAATATTCGAAAAGTTTTCAAATATATTATTACAAATAATGTAACTTTCATTATTTTTGCTATCTTATTGTTATATCTGAGCAAATCAAATGTAAATTATAAATCAATTTATCTCCAATCGTCATTTCATTTCGAATTCAATTTCAAAAAAATAGTTGCCTAATTTACACAAAATTGAAAAAGTGCTCCCGCATAGTCACAGTCTAAACACATTTGCAAATAATTATGTGCGATATTTTTCTTATTTTTTGACGATTTTTGGACATTAAAGTTAACAACAATGTAATCAAAATCTTGAAAGATTCCGATAAGAATTTCATAATAAAGTTAAAAGGTTTTAACAAGAATCTTATAAAGTTCTAATAAGAACTTGATAAGGAATTAGAATTTTAAGATGATTCGATAAAAATCTTAAAATATTTTCATAAGAAACCAATGAAAATATTATAAGGGTCAATGAGAATCTGATGAAAACCTTATAACAATATTATTAGAATCTTATTAGGATCTTAAGGGTTTCTTATAATATTCTGATGAGATGGATCCTCATTATATTCTTACAAGAAAATTATAAGATACCGGAATCTTATTCAATAGTGACAAAATTCTGTTTAAATTTTTAGATTGTTATTAGATTCCATATCGGGATTTTTTTTTATTCTTCTCAGAAACGTAAAAAATTTATTAGAAAGAAATTCATTTACTTCTGACTAAATTCTCTTAAATTTGAGTTACATTCTTATAGTGAGATTATAGTGATGTTCTTCATAGATTTATATTACATCTTTATTAAATTTGAAATCTAAACTATTGCAAAAAAGTAATAAAATCTGTTCCCTAAAGCTTAAATATTACTAAATTCTGACTAGATCTTTGTTGACGCTTTTCAAAAATTTAAAAGCCTTCAGAATCTAATAAGAATCTCATAATAACTCAATATGAATTCAACTAAAATCTTACAAAAATCTATTAAAAAATCTTACGAGAATTTTATTAGGTCTTCACCAGAATCTGTTAAAATCTTACCAGTGTTAAATTGTTTTATTATCAGAATATTTAGAAATTCTTATCTAAATCAGATTCAATTCTGCCGAAGAAATCCAATCAAAAACACATTGGATTCTGATAGGATTCTTATTAAATTCAAGCCAGATTCTTATGAAATTCTTAATACATACTTGAGTTTTTGCTACAGACTTTGTAGATTGTGTCAGAATCTAGAAATTTCTCAGAATTTTTATTAGATTCTTATTTGATTGAAACTGAAATCTTAAATATTACAAAATGATAAAGAAATACTAAAATATGTCTCCAAATTCATGTTTCCAACTAAATGATTACTAAATTCTACCTAGAATCTAACTTGATTATAACTTGCTTCTAGCTTTATTCTTATTTAATTACAATTAAAATATTACTAAAATCTTTCTAAAATCTTGCCTAAGTTTTGCTAAAATTTTACTAACATGAAATTTAATACAAATGTGAGTAATTATTTAAAGTCATAAAAATTTAGGCGCTTACTAGCAGGATTTTGTGCACTAAAATTGATATAATTAAGAATATTTTTTAAATGTGTTTGAGAGATATATATAGAAAATTGCAATGTTCAATTCAATCTTTGGTTGATGTACTCAAATCTTACACTGATCGGAAAGTTTATGCAACTTGCCTTAAGTCAAAATGCCACTTACACCT